TGGCCATTTGGGGTCCGCGCTCCCCATACAGCACAAGGGTGCTGCATGGGGACTGCGGACCCCAAGCAGCCACTTGCCGCCGCTTGCTCCCCCGCCACGGCCCGGCTGAGTGGCTCAGAACTCAGCCGAGCACCATGGTGGGAGGCAAGAGCGCCCCCCAGAGGCAAGACTGTAACGCTACAGCGTTACAGACTCTCAGACATTGCGCTACTATATATATGATTCATAGCTCTCTGACAGTCTTGGAGAGCAGAGGTTCTCCTGTTTGCCAGAATTTAATTTTCCTACTATTTCCATAGTCTTGAATGGCTTTCACATGTGTAACTTTCTCTCACAACTGTCTAACTTTTGAAAGGGAAATAGTATAGGATACAGGTGTAACAGACACCTTTTTATGCTCATCTTTTCCTAAACCCACAACCACAACACTGGTATCAACTTTATAGATTATCTTTGTTTGTTTAGCTTTCACTTTTGTTAGACTTCTCACGGCAGAAAAAAATTTGTGTCTTTGCAGCTAGTAGTAATCACTTCATGGGTAATTTGGGGAAATGTTGTACTCATAACACTACAAAGATCCTTATAAAAGGATCGAAACAATTTCACCAAAGCAAAGCAGAAGTAGTACATTCTCACAGCTTACTTATCATTGAGAAATCAGCCCACCTCAGTTACAAGAAAAAAATGTTACTTAACTCCTTATGCAGATATAGGCCACCAAAATATATAGTTAACTTTTCAGTGAATTATACATCTAAAAGCTTTCACATAGGATTTCCTTTCTTTTCTCACAACCCAGGGCTTAACTTCTCAATACACTTTGCATGAGGTAACATATGAAGTACAAAAGTTTTTAAATAAGGAAAGAAAATAAAACTTTTCTTAACTGATGCAAAAACTAGTTAGACTGCAGCCAAAAATATTCTCAGCTCACAGCTTTATAAATTATTTTGTTCAAGTAACTTAACCAACCAACCAACCAACCAGAAAACAAAAATATTAAAATAAACAGAGGGTGGATACTGTTATAAAATTAGAGAGAAGTGGATTGTTATAATGTTATTTGTTAGATTGCTCTGAAGCTTTCTAGGCTGGTGAGAGCCTGATCCATGGATAGGTCAGGTTGGCAAACTGGTTTGGAGATGAGGTGCAGGTGACAGGTAATATTTCCTCCCGTCTCAGTAACAAGAAACCAGCAGAAACAGTGTAAAATGAGCAGGCTAGTATCAAATCCTGGACAATTAATAAACATTATTAAAGCCCGAGGTTTGCCTAGGCTTGACAACCATTAGACCTACAACTTAGAACAAGAAATAAGAAAAACAAAAAACAACCAAAAAAGTCAGGAAAACACAGGGCTACGTCTAGACTGCATCCGTCTGCCGACAGAGGGATGCAAATCGAGCACTTCAGCAGTGAGCCCAGGATTTAAATATCCTGGGCTTCATTTACATACTCATATTCGGATGCTGTGCTGATCAGGCTCAGTGTCGAAAGTGAAAGTAAAGTGTAGCCATGGTTCTGCTGACAGCAGGGAGCTTTTTTGGCAGTTTCTGTACTCCTCATTCCTGTACTCCTGAACTCCTCAAAAAATGAGGATACAGGATCTGCCGAAAAGAGCCCAGGATTTAAATATCCTGGGCTTCATTTACATACTCATATTCGGATGCTGTGCTGATCAGGCTCAGTGTCGAAAGTGAAAGTAAAGTGTAGCCATGGTTCTGCTGACAGCAGGGAGCTTTTTTGGCAGTTTCTGTACTCCTCATTCCTGTACTCCTGAACTCCTCAAAAAATGAGGATACAGGATCTGCCGAAAAAGCTC